TCAGGCCTGGGAGCCATCTTCTGCGTTGGCCCTTCAGGCCTGCCACATTTTCTACTGTGGGAAACTGGGAGGGGGGATTATATGGAGTATGGGAGACATATATAGTCTAAATAACATTCCTTTCTCAGAGAGTCAAGGACATCTTGCCCTGCACATGGAGTGGTGTGACTGAGAGGCATCTCCAGTTTGGATGGTGCCCGATTGGGTCATGTGATGGACATGTGGGTGCTGGGCAGGGACTTGAACTTTCGTTTGGGTGGGGAAAACCCGGAAGCTTTCAGATTCGGGTTCTTCTAGATGTGCCAACATGACATCTCTAATAAAATGGAACCTTAAGGAAACTCAGGCCTCGGAGTCTTCTTTCGTTGGGGGTGTTATTTGGAAACCCTGACATATAGCGCAGGAAGTGTGTCACTGCAGCACCCTTCAACATTTGGGTCTTCCAGCCCACCACCAAGTATGGAGAGAGCCACCAAGGTCACTGGGTTCCATTAAAGAACAACAAGTCTCCTCAGGAAGCTATAAGTCTCAATCATGTGATGGATCCAAGGATGACCAAGGGACAGCCCCCAAGCCCAGCTGCTTGATGGCAGAAGCCTGTTAGAAGGGAATTTCCCTCAAAACGCAGCGTCAGCCCACAGGTAACCTTGGAGAGCATCTTTCAGAATGAAATGAGTCTTTCCTGGAAGACCAAGATGGCCATCCCTTCAGAGCTTCCAACATTACCTTTCACCATTGTGGGTTTAGTAACCTCCTGGGGTAGTGGAAGAGGAAAACAGCTCTCCTTGGCAGGACTTTCTTCCAGAATTTCTTCTGGGCACAAGTAGACCTCAATGGGGCCATTGGTACTCCTTAGGTGGAGCTGGACATTCTCCTGGAGGAGGAGGAGGAGAAGGAGGAGGAGGAGGAGGAGGAGGAGGAGGAGGAGGAAAACAAATCAAGAAAGAGCATGACTGACTACCCTTAAGCCAAGGGCACCTGTCTAGGAACAAACAATTATAGCTAGTCCTCAATTTATAACCATAACAGAGCTGGACCACAATGGTCATAAAATGAATCACCCACATGAACTTGATTTTGCAACCTTGTGGTAGGCATTAAATGAACCAGTTTTTTTCCCCCTCTACAGGCCAGTTTCTCCTAAAACCCGGATATAAATGATGGTTTGGGGCAAAAACATCATAAAAACACAGTCATGTGACTGTGGGATGCTACAAACTGCGACTGGAACTAGATGCCGACTACCCAAAATGCGCCCACGTGAGCTGGTCTGGGGGTGTCGCTGGAACTAGGTTGCAAGCACCCCCCGTGAGGGCCTGTCATAACTTGGTGCAGTTACTAAGCAACCAGTTGTAAATGAAGGACTATCCGTAGCCACAGATCAGTAGTGGGATTCAGCCAGTTTGCACCTATTCGGGAGAACCAGTTGGTAACTTTCTAAGCAGTTCGGAGAACCGGTTGTTGGAAGAAATCTCATTTTGTTTTTTCCCACTTTACAAAACTAATCCTATAAGGAAGGCAGGAAGGAAACATCCTGGTGTTGTTTCTAGTCTAATCTTTATTCTCCTGCTTACAGAAATTGCCTCTCTGATTAACCCTTATTACATT